CATACACAATTTGAGCTGTGAAAATATTTTCTAAAGCACTTCTGTCTTCAGGTGGTAAGCAAGGTAAAAAGTAGTATAAACCACCTATTTTATTAACACCGTTATGAGGAGAGCAAGTATCTCCAGGTTCAAACTCATCATAGTAGCATCCAATAGAAAGTAGAAGTTTACCAGGAAATCTCGGTTTGATTTTTTCTTTCTACAATTTTGCTTGAATTAAATTTTCAATGATAGAGCCATCTGATCTTTCTAATTTATTCATGTACGATAAAATTTTATTGAAAACATGTGGTAATTCCAAAAATGCACGTAATACTGAGCGCATGGGAATAAATTGACCATAAAGATCAGTTGGCTTCATTAACACAGATCCATATGAATGTTTTGAACTTAGAGAATGACCTACAATAAAAGCTTCAGGTTTAATGTAAGCACCACATTCTGTAAAACTTTTAAATCTCAGGTGTTCTGTTTCGAGCCCAAAGTATATGTTTTTTAAACAATGAAACATGTGTCGTACCTTTTGAAGAGCTTTATCCTTTTGGGCTGGATTTTGAATTATATCAAGTACTTTGTTTTCAAGTATGTTCAAGTAGCCACCACTACGTAGCATTTCAATTTCATGTTCCACAATAAGCTGGACATGGTGACGGGACATACTATCAATGCTGTATAATTTACTCAAAAACGCTAGTGTACTGTTAGTAACTAAAGTGATAAAATCTGACTGTGTGAAAGTTAAAGAATGCTGTTTAGTATTAGTTACTTGGACATCGGTACATACATTCGGATTCCTCAACTCAACTACATCTTCATCTTGCGAAATATTATTTACATTTTCAAGCTTGTGATATTTCATAGTAACAGATGTAGAGGTATGAGAAACCAAATGTCGTTTCAAAGAATGCAATCGACTAAATTTTCTAGTACAATTTGGCTGAGCACATATGAAATCATTGGATAACAATCTGTCTGAATGAAAAAGCTTAATGTGAGCCATAAGAACATCACATGTTTGAAAAGATGCAGCACAAATGAAACACACAAACATAGTAAAAATATGTAACACACTTAAGTACTATAAAGAATAAAGTCTTTAAGACATAACATATAATGCGCAAATTTAGACTTACATTAGAAGTGACTATTTAAAGATGAACATCACAGTAACCAGTACCTATATAATAAAATCGAAAGTAAATTAAAATATTAGATATTCTTTTCTCATCCCATATAAGCATCAAATTTACTAATAAACATAAAATAATGAAAATATTTAAGAAACTTAACAAAGGAATAGATGTTGATTACAATATGCTGAACAATACGAGAAATAATTGGTTGAAAAAACATCGAATCGATGTTCATTCAATACATGTCATGTTTATTCGCTATTTTTTCAATTAGTATTTTTCACAAGGTAGTTAACATTCTTCTAAGTATGGTGTATGAGCAACTGTAATTATGTTTAGTTTGAATCACAATAAGTTGCAGTAAATTTGTTTACATAATTATAACGGTTATGTAATAAAAAATAGGAGTCTTCAAAACACCGTGAAAAATTTCTGAAACAATTAGCTAAATTACCTTCCGTTATCCATTAATTCCAGTTTTTTTAAGAAACTTGTTACTTTAAGAATGTTTGCGTCCTCTGTAGTTGTAAAGCCATAAAGAGTTTTTTGAATAAGTTACCATACGTGGTCATATTGGGCAGTGAAAACCATGTCTAAAACAAAGAAAGTCTTGAAGCATATATCCAATGCTTGCTGGAAGGTTCCTAATTTGTAATAAAAGTCGTCAATCACAACAAATATTTCATCTATCACATCTAGTTGCCTACATATAAAATGTATGGCTGTACGGAGGCAGATCGTCCAAATTGATTGCATATTTTTTCACGTCTTTCTGCTATGAAATTTTGAACTTGGCCAGGAATCTGCCAAAAAAGAAGGTTATTTGACTAATTTAAAATGCATGAACAATGAAAAATGTTACATATTAATAGAGCTTACCTTAACATTAGCGATAAAAGCATCTCTGCTTTCTTTAATTGTAGGTTTGAATTTCTTTGTGCCAAGCTGCACTTGCCTACTTGGAGGTAGCAGTGAAGGTAAGCACTGCATAAGTAGAATATTTTTTGATTCTACAGATAAAATATATTGATAATATACTTCAATAAAAATTTATTGTATAGTGTTAACTTGACAAACTTAACTGTAACTATTAGCAATAAAAAATGAAGCAATATTTTTTTAATATTCCAATTATGTGAAATTATATATATATATATATATATATATATATATATATATATATAT